ACTTGTATGAAAACAGTAATTATATACAACTGCTAGGTTAGGGTGTCCCTGTGCAAAACACATTTTTTTTTATCATAGTTAAAAGATTAAATATAAATAAACTTAATTATTGTGGTTAAAACATTTATATTTAACAACGATTAAAACAAACATGACTGTGCAACAAAATATTTGAGCAAAACTAAATTCTACTGTTAAATGAATCAATTTCAAGTTCAATTTTAAAACTTGATTTATAAATTAACCAAATAGACATGTTATCCAAACTACCAAGGGCATCTCTAATTTTTATTCAAACTTAAATTTTAGTAAAAATAAACTAAAACGATTTTCAGTATTTTATTCATACTCATACGAAATGAAGGCAGACTAAAATTTTCAGTTTTTGAATTTTTTCCGTTATAATGTTTTGCACCAAATTAAACTTTTTACCAGAATGTTTATTCAAATTAAAGGAAAAAATTTGAGTGAAAATGACCTGATAAAAGTACAATAACTTAAAAAACTTTTATTTTCCTAATGTAAAAATTTGAGTGAAAATAACCTGATAAAAGTACAGTATCTTATTTCTAATTTGTCCCCAAATAATACCTAATAACAGTCTATAGTTTAGCATATACACAAAAGCGAACATTTGGATTCTAGAGTAAATACTTGCATGCATTAAATGTTTTACAATTTGATGTTCCATATTCTTGCTGGAGACCAATGTGGTTACTCGAGGAGACCAATTTGCACAAAGACTGTAAGTTGAAATGAAGAGAATAAGCCTCCACATCAAAAACATTTTTTTACTATATATTATTCATTTCATGCATTGAACAAAGCTTGGGGCAAAGGAGAAGGAGAGAAGCAAAGAGTGATGTAAAGAGGGCAGCTAAATACCTTGACGAAGCCATTTTGGGTGATGATTTCATGGGTTGTTGCCATTGAATGGTGGCGTCGTTGCCGGTGGAAAAGAGAGATCAAAGAGAGGGTGGAGTGGGTGTGTGTCAGGCAAGCGTATAGGGTTGTGTGCAGACAGCTTGACCGTTCAGAGGGCTTGTGATGAGTGGGGGGTTGGGGCAAAAGACCTTTTTTGTTGAGGGGGGTGGCGTTGTTAAATGTGTGTGTGAGAGAGCAGAAAAGGTGTTGGGGTGGCGTTGCGTAGAAAGGGCAGAGAAGAGGTTTGGGAGGATGGGGGGTTAGTGTGTGTGTAAGAGAGAGAGAGAGAGAGAGATATGAGGGATACCCTGGGAGGGGTTAGCAGTAGCGGCAGCGGTGGTGGTGGTGGTGTTGCTGGGGCGTAATAGAGAGAGAGAGAGAGAGGACTGACCGAGGTGGGAAAAAAAATAGAAGAGATGGAGAGGCATGGCTTGTCTGATAGAAAGGAGGGGGGAAAAAAAAAGAAGAGACGGAGGAAAGGCAATTGAGAGTTGACTGAGAAGTTTGATTTTGAAAAAAAAAATATGAGCGACATGTGATGAATTTGGGGAAAATAAGAGGAATGTTTGTGGCATTTGAATTAATGTATTTGAGACCGTATGATAGTGGGCAGCCGATGATATGGAACCCAGAGGATTACATAAAATGTTGCTCCCATTGCTGCTGATGCACCACCGCCAAACCTTAAAGGGTGGTTCAGTGGTTGAATTGAGTTTTTAATAATTCAGAGATCTTAGATTCAACACTTTTTATATTTTTTAAAGATCAATCATCCTTATTCTTGAGGGGATATCTTCTAAACTCGCCGGGGCTATGATGACCAATATCCAAGTTCGAGAGAGTAGTCAATACAAGTCTGAACTTAAAAAAAAATACACCACCACCATTGCCATTGTTCTTCTACAACATGATGATTCTTATTATTTATCACCTCTTTCAGGAAACCATTTTAACTAAATACATCTTTTTAATTTTAGCCAATCTTAATTTCGTACTCGAATTTCACATTGACAAATATGATCTACATTTTCCATGTGCAATTTATTTTCTCATAAATTGCCCAGTTCTCGGATCTGCGTTGTCTACACACCCACACAAAAAAAACAAAACCAAGTCCCTTGAACCAAAACAATGAAACATTTGGCATTGAGTAAAAAGTGATCAAACACAGAAACATTATTTTTATCGTACTGCATTTGAACATGCTGATGAAATTGAATCTTAGTAATCAAAGGAACCAAATCTACTTTCACAACACAAGGTACCAGTTGATGATGCCTAAAGTAAATCCCAAGTGTTAGCTCAGGAGTTCAGCTCAGACCGGGAGGTCAACCATATTAACTGAGGTCAGAAGACAAGAGTTCAATGTCTCTTGAGGCAAGGCAACGACTGGATAACCACGAGAGGTTCCTAAAGCGTTAAGAAGCTATAATCAAGACACCTAATCTTAACCAACTAAGATCTTCTCCTAGAATTAAGGAGAACCCCACGAAATAAGGGCAAGAATCTTAGCCAAGATCTCATTGAATAAGGAACAGCCCTATAAATATTATGTAACGCCCCCAATGAGGGGAGAAGACCCTAGAGGCAAAAACTAGTCATTTGTACTCTTGCAATCATCATTATTGAAAGACAAGGAGCAAGAGTCTCGATTAAAGAGTGGACTACCCGAGCTCTCAAACCGGTGAACCCCTATACTTCTTCTATATTAATCCTCCCAACTCCTAGAAAAACATTTCTTTCATTATCACAACATCTTCACTGCAAAACATAATTACGAATCATTACTCATACAATTCGGTTTACACTGTCACCAGTAATCAAACTTTATATAGCTCACATACCGAATATACAGCACATATTATAAGTGGTATCAGTTCAAACCACTTCCTAAGATAGAAATAGTCTCTTTAATTGTTAATTTTAAAGCTCCAACTTGTTCTTTACCTTTCAATTTTACAAAATATTAGAGTTAAGTAACCATCATAGTTAGTCCGGATGACCAAGGTCTACCTTCCCTACTAGAAAGTCTCATGTTCAAACTTCGCCAAAGATGAGTTATTGATGTGCTGGTAAAAGACTAGTCCTTACAAGGTCTGAAATCTGAAATCATTCCACATACAGCTTAGCAGCTCCCTAAGGGCATGTAGGTTAGACACACCAATGTATATCAGAAATAATTGAAAAAAAAAATTACTATATTAATGTAAATGTAGCTTTTCTTGAGTAGGCAAGCGTGCATCATCATATAAACGAAATATGTACAAGATTTTGAGGGAATTCTAAAACTCTTTTAAGGCCCCTTGGCATACCTCCAGTCCACCTATAATCCTTTACAAAACCAGATGAATGCAAAGACTAAAATATTCAAACAAACAATCCAGCCAAAATCTCTCTACTATCTCGCGAGAAGTAAACATAACAGACGATATTCCCAATTCTTTACCAGCCAGCCAGCCAGTTTTCGCAGAAAGTTACCATATTCCTTCATTTACTTTCATTTAAATCCGCAACAGTTCTTTTGTTACGTGATTTATCTTCTTTCCGTGTAATACTTACACAGCTGCTGCTAATGCTGTTCTCATTATGGTGAAGCTATATTTCCCACTCATATTGGGCATATCCCTTTGCATTTCGTCTTGCCATCCAGCCGGTTAAGCACATCTTTAAAATACGTACCCAGAGGAAGCAGTCAATATTTCGATCTGATCTTCACCAACCCACAATCTACAGCCTGAAGAATTTCAGAAAAAAAAAGAAAAGAAAAGAAAATCCATATCGCTAAGGATGGAGGCATAATAAAAACTAATGATACTTATACAGAAAGGTGATTCTAATTCAGAGTTTATGAGCTTAAAAAGTGAAGATCAGCATATCAATGCTAATTCAAACTCCACCATTTGAGGCTTCTCCCTTCTTTATCAGAGTTTAACACCAAGGCTTGGTGTTCGGCATACGTACTAAAGTAGAACCTCAAATATTATGACATGATTCAATTAAAATAAAGATCAGGCATTGAGAAAGTTACTTGAACCTTAGAGGAGAAAATTGATTTTGGTTTAATCCAATAAGCAAGAGGAAATAAAAGTCAAAACGACAAGGGAAAGATACTATATTGTCACATCTCAATAATATATAACCTAAGAATCTATCACACTTTTTCCCCGTAAAGTTTATAGAATATACTTTTTTTGATTGTTTATAATTTGCATATTATTCTGAGCAAGATCGCTATAATTGCAGGAATGATTGTTTAAAAATTGAAATTGCACACCATCATACCCGCCATAGAACAATTGATTGGAATTTCCTTTTCCCCTCTCGAATTTTGTTTCCTGCTTCATCTAACAAGATGTATAAGCACAGAGACCCAAAAAACAGAAAGTAAACCATAATTAATGCACTAATTTTGTGGTAGGGAAAAAGTAAGACTGTTCTTTCTTTTTACTGGAAGTTTGATGCCAGTGGTTTAACCTCACAAACATCATAGCAAAAAGGCTAGCATTCATTTCAGCAGAATACATTACAGAGTGATCTACACATAACTAAGACCTCAAATATCAGAACATTACACAAACATTTCAAAGGTCAATCTGCTCTGAGAAAGTTGGCCCAACCTGTAATCTTATTCTAACAAGATAAAGTTAACTCCAATTAGGCTAGAAGGAACAAAAGTAGAAACAAAGAGGAAAAGGTATTATATGATTTCTTCTCAATATCATAAATACCTTAGGTATATCTAGCATAGATTTCTTAATGAAAGCAGAAGTATAATATTAGCAACACTACGAAAATATTAGTATTGTGTACACCAAAAACAAAATTCTACACCATCATATCTAGATGGAGCCACCTAGTAGTATTTACTTCTCTCCATTCAAACTTTACTTCTCTAAGTACAGAAGATAGAATTCTAGCCTTCTAGGGACATGCCCAATCCCTTTGGTTAACCATAGGGATATTTTCACTTGAAGGACGTAAAGTTAATATACCAAATTTAGCTACAGCCATTTCAAGAGTGTGATTTGTGTTGCATCTAATAGCTGCATTAAAAGCATCACGAAGACCAGAATTCATCATGAGCAAGAAAAAAGAGCATTTTCTACTAAAAGTGCAATTCTATGGTAAATATTACAACCATTACAGAGAATAGATTGAAGGTCCGATTAATTCCCTTGAGTTTGCAAGAGAGAGGATTTAAATAGGAAAGGACATAAGAATTCAAGCTGTTCATAAAAAGTACGAAGGAATATCAAACTATAATGCCAATCACTTGAAGTTCTAAGATATCATACAAACTACGAAATTTCTTGATTGGCATTTCCTTTACGGTCTTCAATTTTCCCTTCTTGGTTACCTTGATGGGAAACATCATAAGTTGCATGAACGCCAACTACCAGGTAATAAACTAGCATAACAGCACTACATATGAAGAACCTCAAGAATGCCACCCCACCCAAGGATCCAATCAAAAACACGTTCATCCCGATTGACAATGATGGCAACCATGGAACAAGTGGAACACCCCAAACCTTTGGAACCCTCCGCTTCGGAAGCAATACCATCCCCAGTGTACCCATTAACCAGAATGCACCAGCCACCGCATAACCAATCCATCCTCTCTTATTAGAACTCCAAAGAGCTGTTATCACAATCGATGAACCCAAAATAACAAAAAGGCACAAAAGAAATTTAACTAAACCATGATTTGGAGTAACATCTTTTACATAATATCGCCTAACAAGTAATGCAACAGCCATAAGCATGAAAATGAAGAGTGTGCTAAATGAAAACACACTAGATAAAACATCCAAACTTGAGAAGAAAGCAATAATGCAGCTAATTATAGTCACCAATAGAGTAGCATTTATGGGGGTTCCGGTTCTCGGATGTACAAGAGCAAACCAGGGGGGAATCATATGAGCTCTCGCGATCTGAGTCGTGTATCGAGCTTGCCCCATAGAACCAACAAGCAGGCTTGTAGTCATGCCCTTAAGAGCACAAATACTCACCAAATACTTAGCCCATTTCATCCCGATTCTCTCAAATGCCACTGAATAGGCTGCATTGACATCTACCTGAGTATAATTCACCATCATGACAAGTGCCAATGCCATCAAACAATACACCACAGTGATAATGGACATTGAACCAACCAAACCCAACGGTATATCTCTAGACGGTTTCTTAGTCTCTTCAGCCATAGTTGCAACCATATCAAATCCAGTATAAGACCAATACACAACTGCTGCAGCTTTGAACACCCCCTCAGCCCCATATGGGAAAAAGGGTACCAAATTCGAGCTCTTAGCATGAAGAAACCCAACAATTATAATGAAAACTATGACCCCAGAACTGAAAATAGAAGCAACCCAATTCAAACAAGATGTCCTCTGTGTCCCACTCATAGCTATAGTGTTAGCAATCGCTAAAACCACAACCGCAATTGGGTCCAATAAATTAAACCCTTCAGCAAAGGAGTTCACTCGAATTCTGAGGAAATCCGCATCAGATTTTATCATACTAGCAAAATAAGAAGACCATGAACGCCCTAACCCAGCAGCACCAACAACGGCCTCTAGTAAAATATTACCCGCAGCTATAAAAGCAATAAAATCACCCAACTCGATTCGAAGAAATGAGAAAGACCCACCTGCCACAGGTATTTCCACAGCAAATTCAGTGTAACAGAATACTGATAGCAACGCAGACAGGCCTGAAGCGGCATAAGAAAGAACTATAGCTGGGCCAGCATCGTTGTGTGTTTCCTGACCGGTGATACTGAAAATTCCAGACCCAACAACGGCGCCAAAACCCATCCAAATCAAGTCCCACCATGTGAGACATTGCTTCATGTCATATTCAGATTGTTTTTTGAGGTCAATGAGCTCAGTGACATCGGTCGAGCGGCAAAAAAGGCGGTCTTGGAGACGGTGACAGGTTTGCAACAGGGCTGTTATGTAAGTGGAGAGGTTTTGGAAGGAGGGTTCTGGGAAAAAGTCTTGTTTGCTGAATCGCCAGTAGGATTTTGGTGGTGGTGGTGGTGGTTGTGGTGGTTCCATGGCGGAGGATTTGGAGTGAGAGGCGAAATGGGTATTGAGAGGAGTGATCAAATCTTGAGAGATTTGAGAATCAGTGTTAGAATCAACCATTGTTAGAGTTGGGTGTCCCCTTCTTTCTAGCGGAGAGAGAGAGAGAGAGAGAGTAGTGGATTCAGGAATTGGGATCGATTGGAATCCCGGGAATCAAGATTACAACGAGGATTGGAATTCGTTTTTTTTTGTCAGTAAGTTGGTAACGGTACAAAATTTATCTCACATACTTAAAAATTAGATTTCATAATTATAATAGTTATTAATTTTATTGTGCGTCACAATATTTATTAAAATTTATTATCTATACAATGATCGCGATTATCAAATTTATTTTTTAAGTTTAATTTTTTAGTGTATATAGCATTACTCTTTTAAATAACTCAACTAAATAATTAACACATTTATTAATACCAAATAATCCCAATAATTCATACATATCTCTCTCCTATTTTTTTTTAAAAGCATCTTTTAAAATAGTTTTTCCACTTTGTTTTATCATACATATCTCTCTCCTATTTTTTTTTTAAAAGCATCTTTTAAAATAATTTTTCCACTTTGTTTTTGTTATCCATTGATAGAAGAATTTTTATAATTCAAAAAAATCGACGATTACCTATTTGTTTTAAGATTACTGAAAGAAACAAAAACTTTCAAGAACAAATATTTGATAAATAAAGATAGATGCATTTACCTTAGTTTTAGAATTACGGCAAACTCGTGTTAGCTTTCTCGTGATTTCTAAAAGGAACGTCGTGATTTTAAACGATTATTCTCTATTTATTTTAATTTTAAATTAAATAATTAAATAAAAATTTAAAATAATTTATTTAAAAAAATATATAAATGTTACACAATAGATACTAAAAATTTTACATTACAGAATGTCTTCAAACAAGAGTTATCGCTAGTATGTTGATAAGAATTCCCTTTAAATAAAGTTAATCCCCTATAGATTTATAAAAAGAATTGTTATTTATACCTAATTTAAAAAGTTAATTCAAATATGTAATGCATTATGACTATTGAATTGATTGTGAACTTCATTTTAAGTCCATGAAATCTAAATCCATCCTCAAATTACATTAATTAAAAAAGGGTAAATGTAATTAAAGCATGTTACGTAGGTGGTATAGTTGATTGTTTTTTGCCATTTTTTTTTTTTTGGCATAAGTTAAGTTAATAATGATTCATTATTAATGAGTTGGGTAAATTATAATTTATAACTTTAAAATATGCACCTAATTCTTATTTGATTTTTGAAAATTTTATTATAATAATTAAATTCTTAGAGTTTTAATTAACTTTCAATGTAGTTCTTACATCAAAATTCAACAATTTATTATGACTATATGATATTCAGTGACCCATACTTGACTTAGGTTAAAGGTGAATATCTGGTTTTGAGGAAAATTATTGTGACTATACTTGTCTGGTGAAGATCTAGTTTTGAGGAAAATTAAAAAAGAATTAAAAAACCGAAAAAGAAGAAGAAGAAGATATAGAATGAGAAATTGAGAAATATTATAAGACAAAGAGATAAATAAACAATGTATTTTAGAGAGAGATTTTTTAATGGACAATATAAATCGTTATGAGTAAGTCCTGTGATGTCTTTCTGTCGGAATTAATTAATAGATCTAAAAAGAAGGATTGAGCTGAAACTCAATTAAAATTTTAAGGGTGTAATTATACCTATTGAAACTTGAGGGACCAAATAAAAATTATATGCATATTTCAATGGTGTTAATTGTAAATTACCCTAATGAGCTAGTCTGCAGTAAAGCTGCTGCTGGGTAGAGTCTGGGCTTTAAATTTTGGTTGGGTGGCCCGACTGGTTGGTTCGATAGCCTAATTTGTTTTAGAGAGAATTATATCCGGCCTCTTAAAATTTGTTATTTATTCACTTAGACCCTATAATATTTTAAATATTATACATATACCCTTTAAAATTTGTACACGCGTAACACTTAGACTCTTGCCATTAATGTCCGTTAGTATTTCTATTAATAAATCATATTCCCTAAAGTTTATAAGTATATAACACTTAGGCCCCTTAAGTTTAAGTATTACGAGCGTACAAACTTCAAGGAGTCGGTGTGTTATTTCAAATATCAAAGGTCTAAGTGATTAAGCAATAAATCTTGGTCCCCTAGTGTAACTCTCCATTTTTATTTTAGTAAAAAAAATGTACAAGCTTATGTTTTTCTTTTCAAATTATATTTAAATTGATTTTTTGGGCCCATTAGAGTCTGCCAGCCGGTAGGCCCATTAGAGCTGGACCGTCAACAAATCGTGGACCCAAGTAGTCCGGCCTAAAAAATCTATGTCGAGTAGGGTTGACCCGACCCGACCCGTTGCCAAACCTGAAGAAAAAAAAAAGGTGCAAAAAGTGGTGTTGTATTATTGTAAATTCTCTATCTCAAACATTTCATAAAAATAGATGACAAATTTTAAATCTTAACGTAGTTAAAACATATAGCGGAAATCAAACTCCATCTGATGTTGGCGGGCGAATGGAGAATATCCTTCTTCAATCCCGCAATTTGTTAGGAGCATATTTTGTTTTAACTTGCCTCTTCCTTCTTTATTAGTAAGATGTGTTTTGGACCACTTTCAAAAATTTAGATTCAACTTCGTTTCTAAAAAATTAAATTCAAAATATGGAGATGCTCAACCTTCCCTGATGGTTGGTACATGCCAAAAAAATACTGATGGTTGGTAATAATGCTTTGAATTAGCCAGTCTTTAAGCAATTATAACCCATTGTTCTTACTTGCACGATTCCCAATAAATTAAATACTAATCCAGCGTGTAATCTGGCTTCAATTCATGAATGGAAATAGTAATCAACATCCTACCCCACCTATGGTATTAATAATTACCTTAAAAAGAATGTAGATTTTGGTGATAGAATGGAAGCTATGAGGAGCATCTCACCTAATTTAGTAATGGAGGCCTTATTTTATACCTTGCTTCATGCACTTGAAAGTATATAAATACACCACCGAGTTGGTCGTGTAGTTGACTTCAGTAGAGACTGAAAATTTTACCTTTATTTAGTGGTCATGATTTTGAACTTGTTTATAGTTGCAGTCCTTATGAACTAGATATTGTTAGAGTAACTAGGGCCGAATATCTAATTTGTCCTCTGTGGTATTGTGGCGACGAACTCGACCATCCCAAATTAGTGGTTATGACTCAAACCGAACATTCAACCGTAAGTGAGAACCTCAAAATAACGTCCTGAGAGATTTGTAATTCCTAGTCGCCTTTGACCACCCTTATTAAACAACAAAAAAAAAGGTATATAAATATGGCCGTGCCAGTCTGATCACATATTTTGATCAAAATTGTGATCCAAATGATGTAAAAAATTTTCAATTCTGAATAAATAAAGGGGCTAACAATATCTAGTCGCGTATTTAAATTTTATTATGCTATTTGGGTTACATATTTGCTCTTAAATTTGATCAATTTAGAATTTCTGATATAAATAAAAGTGAGAAGGAAGAAGACTATAAACTACTTTGGGTGAAATCTAACAAAGCTATCTCAGCACCTCCTCAAGACCTTGAAAAGGCACAAGCCAAGATCTACTAGCATCGAACAGTCTTTCGGTGACTTGAAAAGTTGTGATTCTGAATTTTGAATTTGTTTGGTGTTTGGACATATCTAATAAAAAGGGAACAAATCATAATCGGTGCATAAAATTTTTTCCCTAAAATATAATGTAAAAAAGGTAAGTGATAGGCTATATCATCGCTATTTTTACACCTTGATACTTACGACAAATCGATCGGTTGTATAAATGAATACCTGCCATCATTTCAATTTGACCTCTAAAAGTATATCAAAGCTAAAGGAAGGGTTGTTTTCCCATGGAAAATGTAGGGTTGCTTGCTAAGAGTGAGATTGAGGTATGAATGATGTGAGTATACATGCTCAAATGACTTAGACAGTTAGACCCATTCTCTGTGATATGATAAGAATTTGATCTTGGTCATGCACAACCTGGATGGCAAACTTTTCCTTTTTTGTTGCGAAGAGAGGCATCAGAGATTGGAGATTTGATTAAACCAATGTCCAGAAAACAAAGAAGTTTGGATATGTATTGACACTTATATTAATGTTGTCACTAGACTTGTGAATCGTCTTGGGTGAGACAGGTTTGTTTCATATCTTAACAAGTTCATATTAAAAAGTACTCAATTCGTTTATTAATTCGTATCTAATGAGTTGTGTCATATCGGGTTCATGTCGTATATGAATCGTGTATAATTAGTATATAAACGAGTCGTGTAGTATATTTCTTTCGAATGATTTCATCCATACCCATATCCAATTTGTTTATTAATTGTGTTGTATCAGATTCACTTGTTTATGAAACGAGTGATTTAATACTTTAATTTTTGTATTGTATTTGTGTCAGACACCTCTTAATTATCACCTTTAAAATTAACATATCTTCCGATGATTTATTCTAATAATTGTTAGGTGAGAGACGCATGATTGTTTATCCTCACCGCTGTAAGTCAAGTATTTTAAGAGATTTTCATCTTTTTTTTAACTACTTGTTTTAAAGAACTATGAGAGACGGGTGAGTTGATCAAGAACTTCATTATGCCTACATATTTTAATTTTTTTTATTTAACAGTCAAGAATGTTTGGGTCAATTTATGCATACATTGATTAATCTCTTCTCTGATTCGATCAATGATAGTCTGTTTATATCAGGATTAAGGTATTTATGAGAGATAAATCTATCATGACTTGACTCTAAATGATTGTCAAGATTCGAACTCAAGAGATTTAAATTTATATATTTTAATTTTCAGGCTCGATTAAACCAATATATGTATTCATTTTTTTTTTTTTTTGAAATGAGGCGAATTCAAAATCAATTGTACAATTACTTATTCAAAAAGGTATGAATAGGGTGGTTTTAGATTATAAATAAAAAAATTAATGCATCTATATGAATCAAAGAAAAAATGAGAAAACACCCTTGAGTCCTTTTTTGTTTTTGATCAAAAAAAAAGAAGAAGAAATTCACTAAT